CCGTGAATCCTCACTTTTGAGGATAAACCGGCAGAACCGCCAAGCATAAAATAATTCATGCGAGTTGTTTCAGCTGAATTAAAGGTTATGGGTTTGATCTTTTGAAAACACAGCAACCTAAGTGATAGGATAGCCGTTCATATGAGTCATAGCGTCATACCATAATCCGACTGGGACTAATATGGTTTGTAATGCTCTGAAAAGTTGGTTAGGATACAAGATACATATGCAAAAAAAAAAAAAAAACCATAAGTGAGGTTAAGAGCTTATTTAGTTTTTTGTTTTGAAAATAATTTTTTATTTTTTACAAAACTTGTTTAGTGATTTGTTTTCAGTTAGTTTTTTCTAAAAATATGATTTTTTTTAAAAGCCAAAAATACCAAAACAATTTTTACATGTTTTCTTGTTTTGGTTTTTGTATTTTTTATTCATTGTTTTAAAAAATTGGAGATATCTTCTTTTTTTCATCCACTGCTCTCCATAAATCATTGTAGGCGACACTCACCGCTTACTAATTGTGATTTTTTTAAAAATAATTATCTAAACATATTTGTTTTGTTCTTTATTCTCAACACTTGTTTTTAAAAATAATTATATACTCCTCCGGTCCTAATTATAAGACCCAATTGACTTATTTGAGGAGATTAAGGAAGTAAGTTAAGTTGGTTATTTATAATAAATAAGTGTTGTTATTCCTAAAATATCCTTACTAATTAAGTATATTGGCTAAAACTATCATTATTAGAAGGATTATCTTAGAAAAAAATGCATAAATATAAGAGAGAAAATGGATTGGGTCTTATAATTAGGACCAAATAAAAAGTCAAATTGGGTCTTATAATAAGGATCGGAGGAGTAAAACTGTTTTGAGGGGGGAAAAAAAGCGCTAACACGCTCCCTCCAAATCCAAACTCCCTCATCTAGAAAGCCAACGTGAATAACACTTTGTCTCATTCTAAACATTCCAATCAATCCGCGTCTTCTTTCGTCAGCTATTAGTGCATCTATTATTTTCCATTTTAAATATAGCAACTAATTAAAAAAATTATGTTAATTTTTAAATATAATACATTAATCTATTTTTGTCTCGTTAGTTTACGTGTTAAAAGAGTTTTATTAATGTAGTAGTTTTCGATATAAATAATTAGATGGGTTTTTTGGAAAAATCAGCGCATACTTTTTTAATAAATAACCAACTACATTTATTTATATTCACGTTATAACTGAAAAAGTAAATCAATTATATTTTTATATAGTTTCTTATTTGATTGGAGCCATGATAGCCTGAGAGGGTCATCAATGAGGCCCCGCTTGATGCTCAAGAGAGAGATGTATTTTTATTTTTCTGCAAACAAATTGAAATATATATATATATATATATATATAGTTATAGGGTGTGTATTATATTCCTGTTATTATTTTTCTTTTTGGCCAACTCTATTTTTATTATTACTAACGCTTAACAGTAGACAATTAGCCGTTTCATCTGAGCTGAGGTTGAGATGATTACCAAATAAATACTACTAGCATGTAGCTAATGTAAATTACGTATCTATCAACGGCCCAAGTTTGAACCAAAAAATCAATAATCTACTGATTGGATGTGCTCACGTGGCCCAACTAAGACAAGCCCAAATTTCGGTTTGGAGCCCAAATCAAGTTTTTGGTACAAGCCCAAGTGAATTTTGTAACCAAAAGTTTCCAAGATCAATGTTTGGGCTTTGCCATCTTGAGGAAACCTTAGACCGGATATTTTCTATCTTTATGTGACTGGTCACTGCTGAAAACACGAAACACCCCGCGGGGGTGTTTTAAAGTCCCCAATGAGTTACTCTCCCGATCCTTAATATAAAATCTATTTAACTAATTTAATTAGATTAAAAAATTTAGGTAAATTAGTTAATTACAAGAAATGTGACACATTTTTTCTAAAACACCATAATCATTTTTCTTAATATCCTCTCTTTTTCTTTTACTTGATTATAGTTAAGAGAGTGTTCATAGGGATAATTTGGAGAAAATTGATAAATATGAGACATGAGTCTTATATTTAGGATCAAAACCAACTTAATAATTGGGTCCTATATTAAGGACCGGAGGAGTATATAATTATGTAATATGGTGGTCATGGTATGCTGAGATTTAAGTAAATATAAAAAAGAAATCGGAGCAATTATTTACAGAGCATTTACTAATTGCAAAAGTTATGTATAATACTTCACGATAGATTTACTGAAATTATAAAAAAAAATGGGTTAAGTATTCTGAAATATTTTTCCAAATACACCTAGTATTCTGTAGTATTTTATGGTGCATCTACCATCCTAAAACATTTGTCTAGATGTTCCCAACATCTTAAATTATATCACTTCTAATTTTAATTATAAAACGTTGTTTGTAGTTTATAAACGACGTCTTATAATTAGGACTTAAAATAGTACTTTGATAGATATATTATTCTGAAATATTTTTTTTATGTACACTGAGCATCCAAAATTATTTTTTTGTGCATCTAGCACTTCAAATTATATAATGCAAAATTGCACAAAAAATATTTTAAGATACTATATACCAAGGTATTGAAAACCGGACCGGCAATTGAACCGGTTAAGACAATGGGTCAAGGGTCAGTGGGTCAGACCGGAATCAAACCGGGGGTCAAACCGGTGAGAAATAAAAAAAAAAATAAATGGTCACTGAGAATTAGATATCAATTTAATATCTTGAATTACTAGTAAAATAATTATATTCTTACAATTTCTTATAATATCATACTACTAAAATCACTAAATATTCATCCCAACAAAATATCAAAATGGATATATGATAATAAAATATTTTTCCTTATAATTACTCAATCACTAAGTCCTAATTATCAACAGCTTTTTAAAAAAAATCATCAAAATAATTTTTTTTTTTAAAAAGGGGAGACCAGGTTGATCCACCAAATCGGGCGGGTCACACCAGTTCAAGCCGGGTCACACCGAGTCACACAGTAACCCGGTTCACAGCTTAACCGGACCGGTTTCCTGGCCAGTTCACCGGTTTCCGGTCTGAATCGGCCGGTCCGGTTTTCAATACAATGCTATATACATCTAAAAAGTTTTTCAGGATGTTGGATACACCAGAAATTATATTAGTATCTTAGATGCACATAAAAAAATATTTTAGAGTATTAGATTTCCTACCTCAAAAATAAAATAAAATCACCCTTGTTATTTTTAATCTTGATCTTACTTCCACAAGTCACTCGCTGTCTGAGCCCCCTAGTATACATTACACATTCATTATTTCGCATACTTATCTAACTTTCTTTATATATTTTCATCACTCTGCGAATATTTTATTTATAAAATTCTGGACCCGTTCTTCCGTGAGATTCAGAGAAGTTATGCTTAAAACTATTCCAAAACATTAACACCTCTAACTACGACTTTGCTTCTGGGCTAAATTAAAAATTGTATGACAAAAATGTGTAATTATTCCTCTAATTTTAATTGGGGTTCTATTTAATTTTTTTTAATTATAAAAAGTGTCTTTTTACTCTTTTACGGTTTATAAAATCTATTGACATTGAAGATAAAACATTCTTAAATGCATGCTTAATTTTTGGAATAACAACAATTGTTGAAGAAATATGACTCGCAATATTAGGTTTTGAGAAACTGAAAAGATATTTTTCAAAATTAAGAAATTAAACTGAAATTTTATATAAAGTTCATTGTTTGCAGTCAAATTACTGAAATTAAACTGATTCCAGCGATCTTTATTTTATTCAGATTGTCAACTCTAAATGTCATTATTTTGGCAAAAACATTTAGAATTTTATTCAGACATTCAACTTAAAAAATAACGATACTCTCCTAAGTTAATATTATAAAGTCAGATCTGTTCACACGAGTTGTTGATCTGGTGATCATTCAATAAGTACATGAATTTTGAGATCATTTTGAAAGATTGTAAGGCATGAGATGTATTAATATAAAAATTAATTTGATTTTTAATTTAACTTTAAAAATAAAACATTAATTACTCTATTTATTATATTTATTTATTTTTTCAAGACAGTTTTTGTAGTTCTTGCACTTTTACACATATTGAAAGTTTTATCAGGTAATAATTCTAACTAATACACATAATTAGTAAGAATATTTTAAGAAAGGTAACACTTATTTATTATAAACAACTAATTTAATTAATTTTTTAATTGACTCAAATTATTTAACTAATTTTTATAGTGAGTTAGTAGCATTATTTCGTAATGATTTCTTCAGTAACTTCAATTTAACGTTTCAAAATGACGAGATTTTTTTAAAATTTTTTTGTTCATTTCTTGCAGTTAGTACTTTAAAATTAAGACGGCTTGTTAAACTCCGACAATGAACCCCACATAGTGGAAGAGTAGTTTAACCTATGTAAGTTAATTATTTTTTCTAGGGATTAAAAATGTAACTGGGATCTTACTTTCTTTTAATTACCTTTTTAAATCGCCGCTCAAGGAATTGGATTTGCTTGGGAAGTTTCGGAGAAGGTGACAATCGAGATTGTCGGCGGCTTCTTCCTACGCGGCATTATATAGCCGGCTTCTATTGAATTTCCGGCCCAAAAAAAGAAAAAAACTACTTGTGTTTGTATATTGTATTTTTTCCCTGTTTACAAATTTTCGCTTCCTTTTGAAGCATTGAATCTGTGTTGGTGGCGAACGAGTTCAATCTACGCTAATTCAACTTTTGACTTTTCTGGGAATCGAAGATTTTGACATCGGTCTGGCTCTGCTAATTTGCAGTGTGCTGCGAGGTGAATCACTTCTCTCACATTTCTGCATTTATTGTCCTGAGTAATTCATATTTTCTTGTTCTTTGCCTGGAGTTGTGCATATTGTTTGAGTTGCATTTGCATTCGGTTCCTGCATGCTTCTCTATATGTTACTTTGGTCTTTATTAGCGTAAGTGGATTCTGAAAGCTTCCAATTCTGTTTCAGGGTTTAGTGACTGGGGGGGGCTGGTTTGAATGTTGGATACCTGAATCTGCCCTTGCCCCTTTGGATCTACTTATGGGTTATTATTCATGATTGATGATTGGCACGATAATGGCATGTTGGTTTCCATAGAAGATATGTAATCTGGGATGTCTAGTTTATGAAATAGCAATAATAGATAGAGTCTCTGGGAGACATTTTTATCATCTTCTTGTTTAGTAATTGGAACCATAGTTTAGTATAGCTGGAGCAGGTTATGGAACTAACTGGTCATAGGGGTATTATGAATGGGGAGAGTAAGGCCATGGACAATGAACCTTCTGCAAGCATGCCTCTAAGGCCGCGCCAAATCTACCCAACATATCCTGCAGGCTTAGTGAAGAAGACAGCTTACATATTTGACGGCTTAGGGAATTTTTTTAATAAGGAATGGGATCTAGCAGACCTTCATCAAAACAGGAAAAGAGAATCGGAGCTAGTAGATGGAAGAGGGAATGAATTTTCTTGGTACCATGTGGAGCTCCCAAAAGAAAATCAGAAGTTGTCACAGTCTGCACAAGACTTAATTGGTGTTCTTTGCCCACCTTTGAAACTCCAGGATATTCTCTCCCTCGTCAGCAATGGACCCTTTTGTGCACATGTTGATGGGGCACTTGTATTCAGGGTTAATTCTCCTGGTCCTCCCAACAGTGACTTTACATTTAGGATTGCTGCTAGAGTCACAGAAAATTCAGTAATTACTGTGTCTTTGGGGCGTGTTCCCCGATTAGGTTTCTCACGGATGGGAGAGTCTCTTCTTTCTGAGATTCCTAGCGTGGAAATTTCCCCTCATTTTGGAGATCAGCAGAAGCAGGGGAATGGCATTGTGATTAAGGAGCATGTTCTTGAATTCTTATTGACTATGAATCATTCAGAGGAAGCTGACAATCCAGTTCCTAGATCTGTCTCAAACCTTGTCGTTCATATAATTGACACACACGTAGATCAGCTTCAAGATCTTGTGACTAAACTTGAGATGGAGTTGGACTCTGTTGAGCTAGCCTTGGATAAAGGTAATTTCTGTCAATGACATTTTGATCCCAATGTCATTGCCTTCTTTATTTGCGAATATTAGTTGATGAACAGACTTACTAGTACTGATTATCTCATGCAACCAATATGTAGTTGCTGTACATTTCAGCAGAAGTCTTAAGTTTATGCCTTCTGTCACTAACTTCATTTTGGGGTATTCTGCGTAATTAATTCCGTATCTATACTTTTATTTATTTGGAAAGAAAATGGATAAAAACTTAACAAACAAATGACATTATAAAATGTGATCATCAATGTGTCAATTGTCAAGATCTAAATATTTTAGTTCTAACTGGACATCTTAATTTGATCTTTTAAGCAAAAATGTTTTGACTTGACTGATTTTAGGAATCCACAGTGCCTTGGAATGATGCTAAAAGAAACCTTTAACATATGTAACTTCATAGGTCTTACTATTTATTAGTAACAAGGCATCCAAGATCCCAGTCAAGCATATGATTGTCACGAATAATAGGGATCTCTTGCCCCTTACAAAGCATTTGGGAATCTGACATCCTGCTTATATTAGGTTTTAACAACCTATATCCTTAATCAAGAGTCATTTTTCTTGTAACTATCAGTTGTCATACCAAACATGAAGATCTCATATCCTTACACCTTATATCTTCGGATTTTGCAGCCACATAATTGATTATGCTTGATATCAGTGTTTCAAGCAGCTCCTAAGAAAGTTCATTTATCATCCTTTTGTTTTGATGTGATTTACTATTTATCTTCAATATTGTTTTGACATGTTGCAAAAGTATTTTCATCTTGAATGACTTGGGTTTTGATTAATGTAGACTCCAAAAGTTTTCTTTTTTTTTGTTTTTTGCTTCCATGTTCGTCCCTTAGCACACCCTATTTAAAATTGTGTGGTGGAACTGAATCTGAGATAAACTATTTTGCTTGATTGCAGGTGGTTTTGCTTTGAAGAAACAAATGCTGGATGATAGAAGATTTCCCAAACTGCATCTGGACTTGCAGCGTCTTCTTCAGGTTGTTCTTTGTTCCCCTTAATTTCTTTACCATTTTTTTTAATCTATTTTGCACACGAAAAGTTACAGTGTTTTCTGCCATCCTTTGATAGGCGTATTAGAACTCAATTGGTTATATAGCTTGCTTTTTTGTGTTGGATGGGAAAATGTGAAGTGTGAACCTCGTTTCAGTTTTAATACAATAAAATGTTTGCCCTTTGCCATCTTAAATAATTTTTAGCATCAAAATTTTGCCTTGGAACATCTATAAAAAGTCTAGATTCATGGGAGTGGACCATTTCCCTGACCTGGAAGTGAAGCAATTTATTTGCTCTGGTTGATGGTAAGGTAGGATCTTATGTGACCGGGAAGGATTTCTTCCACATTTCTAGTTATAAAAGCAACATTATATGGACAGAGCTACTTTTTGGTTTTGACTTGAATTTAATCAGGTGATTTCTCACGGAGAGCAAGTATTTTTACGAGTCAGAGAAAAATGCTCTTTAAAACCATGGTTTGCCAATGAAGACATTAGCTCTCTTGAAGAGCTAATTGGAAGATTAAAGAGGTTGAAGGAGAATGTCGGATTCATAGTGAATCGTGTAACGGCAATTCAGGCAGGTCTTGACAGCTGGCAGGCTGAGCAAATAAACAGGAAACTTTACTATCTTTCATTCCTTTCAATCATATTCCTCCCATTATCCATCGTTACTGGAGGTTGGCAATCTAACTCTTCTTTTAATTCTATCAATCATATCCATAGGCAATAATATTGAATGGTTTTGGTTCCCATCCCACTGTCAATGCAGTTTTTGGCATGAATGTTGGAGGAGTTCCTTGGACTGGCCAAAACAATCCCGAGCTTAAGGATGGTTTTCGCAATGTTATCCTGCTCTGTGTTGTTATGGTACTACTTGTGCTACTTTGCTTCCTCTTCCCGGCTCTGTATACCCGTATAGCTGGTGCATGGCGGAAAAAGAACGTTCTGGGAAGAAGCTGGTCAATTAATAGGAAGTCATTTCTCAGAAGACCTCTCCATATTGGAGATCAAGGGAGAGGAGGATACCTTAGGATTTGACGATGAAAGGTTTTGTTCTTTTGAAAAATACCATCCTGGTCACAAAATCTCTTCCTTCTGTTTTCAATAATGTCTCGCGTAGAGGGTGAGTTTCTTTATCACGGGTTTTCAATGACTCTGTTGAAACAAAACAGATAGATGAACTGATGATCAGCTGCCATGTATCTTGTGATAAAAATAATAACAGCTGCCACGTATAGAAGAACCGGAAGCCTCAGAGATGGAGGATTCATGAAACAGATTCTTTGGTTGATGAAAATGTAGACTTGTGATCAAAGTGAGCCTATTCGTTCATTGTTCCTCTCTTGTTCAGGGGAAGGGGATCTATGGATACATCATTTTTTTCTAGATCCTGGCAGCATTTTCTTCCTTGTACAGTGTTTTGTATTAGCTTTATCCAAGCCTCATCCAATGGAAGAACTGTATTTGTTTCTTCACTCTGCCCGTTTGGATTTGCTATTTCCAGAGACGTATGATTATCATTCCATAGGTTTTGTACGGCCTGTGGCGGCTTAAAATGTGCTTGAAGAAGTTGATAATGAGATTATACATCAAAATAACTAGCAGATACAATTGAAGAATGGAGGCAAGTTCATGCTAGGAGATGAAGTAAGGATTTTTGCATTGCATTTAAAATGACCTTAGTACAATATTGAAATAATTTATCAAAGGCACTTTGAGTTTTTGGCCCCTTAGAAAAGAAATTGAAATAAACTAATATCAAACCGTGTGATTAAAACCCAATACTTCTGTTGCCTGTGATCATGAGATTAAAACTAAAGTGATACTTATCTCTAGTCTTTAATATAAAAGCTAATTTGACTTTCAATTTGATTCTAAATATAATATTACAATCCACTTTGTATCTCATATTTATTCAAAAATAGTCATTGTCGTGGTTGCATAGGTTAAATATTTTATCAAATAGTAGTTCTAACTAATATACTTGATTAACAAGAGTATTTTAGAGAAGACAATACCTATTTATTATTAATAACTAACTTAATTAATTTTTTTAATCTACTTAAATTAATCGATCAATTCTTATATTAAGAACTAGAGGTAGTATCTTACACTTCAAATCCTCAATCACGTGAGACGTCTAAGTGCTATATTGCTGTTGAGCATAATTATCATATTGCTCCCAAAATGCAATGTACTCCTCCAATTATTGACAGAAGACCTACTCTTTAGTACAATTTGTATTGGTGATTTTTTTTTTTGAAGTATTATCCTTATTGCGTTAGGGCAATCATGGGAATTAATCTTCAAACATTTTCTTGCGCCAAGAAAATCATATGATGTCAAAATTATAGTGATCGTATAGTACTTAACTACTAGGAAATTTTTTTTTTATTGTAAATAAAATAATATTTTGCCTTCACTTAATATTTGATTGTAAACTCGAGTTTCTTCCTTCCTTTCTCACCACTATTTTATTGGTAATTATAATTTGTTACGTCAGTAGGTACTAATGACATTTGTGATATCGCCGACAATATTTAGGAGACACCAACAAAATATACATGTTAATGAACATTCTAAAATACATCCATACAATACAATCGTCAACGATATAATTAATAAAGAAGCATATGTAGTAGGGCATAAAGTCAACAATAACATAAAATAGTTATTCAGTATTTAGTAAAATTGGGATCCCCGACAAAGAGCCTATGAAGATCTGTGTATGTGTTGCTTAAAGGCACATCAGCAATCACAAATAATTGTTGGGTCGCAGCAGCACTCGTCCAAGAGGCAACAACAACACAGAGCTGCTAAGCTGCACAACAAATAATAAAAAATTGCTAAATTTTATTTATAATCATAAATATATATGTACTACCTCTGATCCTTAATATAAGAACTAGTTTGACTTTTAATTTAGTCTTAAATATAAAAACCCAATCTATTTTGTCTCTCATATTTATATATATTTTCAAAATAGTCCTTATAGTAATTGCATATGTCAAAGGTTGGGCCAAATGGTAGTTTTAGTTAATACATGATTAGTAAGGATATTTTAGGAAAGATAACACCTAATTATTACAAATAACTAACTCAACAAACTTTCTTAATTTGCTCAAATTAGTTAACTAACTCTTATACTCCTCCGGTTCTTAATATATGATCTAATTGTTGAGTTAATTTTAATCCTAAATATAAGACCTATTTCTTATATTTATCAATTTCTTCTAAATTACCCTTATAGATCTCCCTTAACCATAATTAAGCAGAAGTGGGTGATAGGATATTAAGAAAAATGACTATGGTATTTTAGAAAAAATAAGTCATATTTCTTATAATTAACTAAATTACCTAATTTTTTTAATCTAATCAAATTAGTTAAATGAGTTTTATATTAACAACCAGAAGAGTATTAAATACCGGACGTAGTATCTTTTTGGGCAAAAATATGTGTATCCATCTGTATGTATCCTTTTAAATCACATACCAACCCTCAAGGAATCCACGCTCTGGCCGATTTTTTGGCTGTGGTTGCTCAGCGTAATACTGCGGCGGTGCCGCCACCGGCGGTGGCCCCTGATAAGGACCTAAAACCAGAACACAAAAAAAAGTATTCAGTATTACTCTAATTAACATATACACACTCATGCTGATTTCAATTTCAAATCATTTATGGCTTCGTTATAGAGACAGAAAGATTTAACAGCACAGAATAAAGAAAACTCAAAATTTAAGTAAAAAATAAGAAGAAACTACTTGAAAAGAGAGAGGTTTATATATATATATCCCATTAGGTTATACCTTGAGGAGGATAAGGGTAGCCATATTTGATCTCACTCATGGCTGCAGCAAGAGGCCTATGAATTGCAGAACTTGACGGTGAGCTTATTGGAAGAGATACAACTTGGGGATGGGTGAAGGAATGGTAGCTTTAGACCCATATATACACACATTCCCACAGGTGTGAAAATATTATAAAGCTTTCTGGTAAAGGAAGATGGAATAGAATCAAGAAGTAGAGGGATTGAACAAGAAAGGTCTGGAATATTATCTACGCGTGTGGAGTATATATATGTGATCTCTTTAAAGTGACTAATTATTATTATTATTATTATTATTATTATTATTATTATTATTATTATTATTATTATCTGATGAAGATGATGTGATTATTTATGACAGTAATCTTCCACCCTCCCTTCGTCTGCACATGAAGAAGATTACTACTAATTTTGACAATAATTGAGTAACTTTCAAAGGTGGATTCTGGAACAAGGGCAAGCAAAGAACATTATTATTACAATTATTATGAGTAGAATAATTAAAGTGGAATTTTTATTTGGAGGGATCTGATTCCCACAATATATATGAATGATATTCATTTCACGGAGTCCACTTGTATTTTTGCTTAGAAGCTTCGTTGAAGGGAGTGGGATGTGAACAGAAAAAGAGAAGAGTCACACGGGGGGTTGTGGGTTGTGTGTAGGTAGAATAAGGTGCCAATCTTAGCCAACTGGCTTTTCAGCCGTAAGTCGGAATATGTTCCTTCCATACCCTCAGAAGTTTTTACACTTCAAATGGAGATCTTGTGTCCCTGCATGTCTCCAAGGAATCCATAGCCCATGGGTACAAAACACTCAAACCTTCGTCCATATCTTTATACTGCATCCGTTTGCCACTCAATATAAAATCTAATTGATTGACTTAAAGAGATTTAAAAAATTATTAAATTGCTTAATTATAGCATATATTATATGATTTCTTTAAATTACTTATGTGGATCATTAAATTATATATCAATTTATAAATAAGACAAATTAGTTTGGAAAAAAACACTAAAAAATAATACTCCGATCCTTACTTCTTTAGGAGTTAGATAACTAATTTGTAAAAAATAGAAAAAGTAGTTAAGTTTATTTTCTTAAAAATGAAAAATTCTTTTAATATATGCAACAAATAGGGAGAGTTTAGAATCAAATTCATCTTTTATAACTGTTACATTTAGGACTAAATAAAGTACTACTTCCAGTCTTTAATATAATAACGAATTTAAAATTTAATTTGGTCCTAAATATAATATTCCAATCTTTTTTGTCTCTCATATTTATTCGTTTTTTCAAATAGTCCTTATAGTAGTTAAGCATGTTAAATATTTCATCAAATGGTAGTTTCCACTAATACATATGATTAACAAGAGTATTTTAGGAAAGACAATACTCCTCCGGTCCTTATTATAAGACCCAATTTGACTTTTTATTTGGTCCTAATTATAAGACCCTAATTCATTTTGTCTCTTAATTTATGCATTTTTTCCAAAATAATCCTTCTAATATGATAGTTTTAGCCACTATACTTAATTAGCAAGGATATTTTAGGAATGACAACACTTATTTATTATAAATAACCAACTTAACTTACTTCCTTAATCTCCCCAAATAAGTCAATTGGGTCTTATAATTAGGACCGGAGGAGTACCTATTTATTATAGATAACTAATTAACTAATTTTCTTAATCTGCTTAAATTAGTCAAATAACTCTTATATTAAAGATCAAAGCTAGTACTACGTTTGATTCTTAATATAAGACTTCGTTTGACTTTATTTTGGTCCTAAATATAAAACCTCATTCCATTTTCTCTCTCATATTTATGTATTTTTTTTCTCAAGATAGTCCTTCTAATAATGATAGTTCTAGCCAACACACTTGATTAGCAACGATATTTTAGGAACGATAACATCAATTTATTATAATTAACTAAATTTATTTTTTTAATCTTCTCAAATTAGTTAACTAACTCTTATATTTGGATTTAGAAGTAGTATGATTTATCAGTTGTAACAATACAACTTAATGGGGCGTTCAAGAAGCCCATTGGCGTAGACTTGATTGATCACTTTGTGTTGATTTCTCCAAGATGCCCATTTTAATTATTTGCATTGAAACCATTCAAGTGGCAAAATTCTTCCTTAACATATGTAATAAATAAGAAGAGTTTAGCAAATAAAAAATAAAAATTTAGAGATCTGATTAAATCTTATATTCATAACCAAAATAAATATATTTACTAAATTTTGTATTTAAAATGTGGGAAGTATTATTTATCACCAATACAACTTAACTGAGTGTTTAAGTGGGCCGTTGACATGGATCTTGCTGCTCACTGAGTGATAGGTTACGCAAACTTAAAAAGATTATATAAAGTAAAAGAGCTATATAAATATAAATATATATATATATATATATCTCCCTCTCTACAAAAGGCAATATCTTGTTCAAGTTTTATAAATGGAAAAAGATTTTGTGATGGATTCCTCTTATTTAAGAACTTGGTTTGATAATATTTTTTTAAATAAAAAGGCATACAAAATATTCCGTATCCAAAAGTTATAGTACGCATAAGTGTGAGTAAATATGACATTCTTTTTTTTTTTTTAATAATCGAATACGTAGACTGGGTATCTATAATTCATTAGGTGATTTTAAACTTCAACATTGATGAAAAAATGTAGAATAATAAAGATTATATGCATGTAGAATAATAAAGATTATATGCATGGAATAAAGCATTACATCTGACATTTTGCTATG